GAGAGAGAGAGAGAGAGAGAGAGAGAGAGAGAGATTTTTCGTGAGAGGGGTTGGTGGTTTTGTTGTTGTTGTTTTGTTTTGTTCTCTGCTTGTTTTACTTTACCGCGCTTGTAGTCTCCAAATGGTACAACAGGAAGAGACAAGTAGAAAGTGACAACTTAAAATCTATACACTACTTACCCACATTGCGCCTTTATTACTTCATTTGTGTAGCGGCGCCATGTCTCACAGAGTTCAGTAATTTTCCAGTGCAGTACGTGTCTGTGTTCAAAACTCAGGCCTTCACGAAATTAATGTCCCGTTCCTTGATCAATAGAAGCGAATTTCAAGCTGTTAAGCTATAGATCTAGCTGAGTGTCTTAGACTGCGCTCAAAATCTGTTACGTTGAGCAGGAAGTGGGACGAGTGCCTGCCTGCATGCCTCCTCGCCTGATCACATAATTCCAGGTGAGAAACGCGAATGGACAAGACGTTGGGCTTGCAGATTAACCCCTTAAAGCCTTGTGTTCTTTTGGAGGCTCGACCACTTGTGGAGTGGATTTGCGAAAGGGTAGGGAGAATAAAAAGGGGACGGGGGGGAGAGATTAGAACCAACAATCGCTGGGTCAGAACGTGAAGCGGCAGTGGTTGTGGCATGGTGTTTGTCGTGTCGGGAGGGGCGTCACTTCAGGAACGGAGAAATTATGACTGCCGGAGATTGCGTTTAGTTTTCTGAGCGCCTGGCAGACCGCTTACTGCAAAACGTGCGCACTAGCCGCGCTGTTTGGTTTTAAGTTATACGTTGTCTGACCGTCTAGATTTTAACGAATGTTTTGCGTGTCGTTTTCAGCCCGATGTTTGGTTTGTCTTTGGTTGGTTGCGCAATGCACTTAGCTAGTTTCTAGTTTAAATATTTGTTTAGAAAAAAGGGACATGAATTGTGTCAAAGGGGATGTGAGGGGGTCGTAAAACATTGTAATAAAAAAGTAGTTTGAGGAATTTTTAGTACATATACATGTATTTGTAAGCTTCCCTTTGTTATGAGCTTGATAAATAGGAGATACAGTGATGTCTTCAGTGCAATGATTAAAATCTTTGTAGTCGTTCACAGTGTGCGTGAGCTCGATTCCCTCTTGGGGAAGATTAGTTTATCGAGTGTCTTCTTCTGTCCGCTGGGTATTGGTCTGGAAAGGGTGGGTGATGGGATGGTACGTGTACCGGCATCTTGGTCTCCAGTGAAGCACAGAGGACCACTGTACCCGCGCTGGCTTCTGTGGTGTAGCGGCAAGGCGCTTTTCTGTCGCACATAGAAAACCCGAGTTCGATTCGCGAGCGGGACGAATTTTTATCGAGTATCTTGTGGTATTTTTGTTGGAATGTTGTATACCTCTCAGCCCGGGTTGGCCTTGACGAGGCAGGTTTGAAAGTCCACCTTCTAAATGATGTAAATCTGTTGTGTGGGTGGGGAGTAGAAGCATCTGTATTTTTTTTTAAAAGAGAAAAAAAAGAAACTTACTCTCCAGGCAGAATGGTTGGCGTGGCCTCATAAAGCCTGGCACTTTCAGTGTGTGTGTGTGTGTATGTGTGTATGTGTGTGTGTGTGTGTGTGTGTGT